GTGCTTACCACCTTCCAAGGAAGTCACCCCTTATATGTTAGAACAGTTTTGCTAATTAGAACATTCTTTGCTATGCAGAACCCAAAACTATCTCCCAGGCACTTCTACCCTTTGAACCATATTATGGATGGTGAAGCCTGAGTGGGGCCCCCAGCCCTGTCCTTACCTCTCCGTCCTTAGTCAATGCTCAGAGGAGTCCCAGAGCTAGTGAAGCCAAGGCAGGGAGGCTGAGTGTCCAGTCTTCTTGTGCCTTAAGCCTCTCTCTGTCCAGTCCCCACCCCCAATCATCTTGCTACAGCCCAGCCCGGCACATTACAGCTGTGCCTTCATTGTCCCTGTCCTCTAAAATACAGAGAAAAGAAAAACACAACACAACATTTTGGGGTCCAAAACAAAACATCAAGGACAATGTTAATAAATACATAAAAATTTAAAGATCTGAATCTCAAAGGCACAGAGTTTACACCCCTAACACAGGCAGGCCGGGTCTCAGGAAGGATTCAGTGTGTGCTCCAACATCCAGGGAGGGGCGGACAGCGGGGGAGAGGGCACCTGGGAGCCCCCTCCAGGGCTCTCTTTTTCCACTCACTTTGCCTGGCTCAGAACAGCCCCTCGCCCCTGGGAAGGAAGAACTGGCAAGCACCTCTATCCCCTGCTGAGGTGTCTGGGAGACCCTCTGCATGACTCAGAGTGAAGACCCCTGGGCAGGATCTTGGGGACTCAGGTGGCTTTCAGGGAGACAGAGGTTCTAGGGAAGTTACTGGCCCTTGAAAGTAACGAGGAGGTTAGCGAGGCACCACAGTGCTGTAGGTCAGTGTCTCCTATCCATTCCAGCATGGGGCAGAGGCTCACATCCTTGTCATCTCCAGGGCCCAGCTAAGAGTGGACTCTGGTCCTCAGCCCTGAGGCCTGACCTCCCCGCCCACACCGAATCAGCACCACAAATCTATGGCCCAGCTTGAGCCACGTCGGGGAAGAAGACCCCTGACTCCAGCACCAGTGGTCGTTGGCAGGGGACAATGATTGACAGGGCATGACCTGAAGATTCACATCTCTGTGTTCCACAAAGGCCCCTTCCAGACTCTCTCCCGTCATGCCCTGGAGTGATGACAAAGTTGCCATTTCTGGGCCAGCCAGAGCTCTAGCACCAGTTGGGATATCCCTGGATGAGGAGGACACTCATTCTAGAGTATCCAGAGCCCCCTTCTTGGGTGGGCTGGGGTGAGGCTGGGACACCCACCTGTAACCTGGAGGCCCCAGAAGTAACAGGAAATGCTGTCTTTGGGGGCAAAGGTGGCCATCAACACTGCTCTTCAGCTTATGAAGACAAGCCGGATCTGCTCCTTGGCCTTGGCTGGAGGAGCTGCATTGAGTTCTTCCTACGAAGAGCTGGGCCTGAGATAGTTGCCTCCCATCCACCCCAGCCCTGCAGCTGAAGCCTCAACACACACTTCACCCCCAGCTCTCTTCCTCTTGGACTACCTGCCCTATGGGTACCCACCCCCCCTTACTTTTCTTGGTCCTGCTTTGCCTCTATGGGCAGAGGGGCCAGGGCCTCTACAGAGGTCCCGCAAGTTCTGGCGTAGGCAGGCAGCCAAATGGATCAAGTGTGGGACCCAGTGAGGAGGGAGTGTTAGCTGGCCCTCAGTCCTGGCAGGGGAGACAGACAGGAGCCCCTGAGAGGTTCATCTTGGTTGTCTGGGCTGCTTGCTGAGGTATCTCGGGTTAAGGCTTTCCCTGATCTTTTTCATCCTCACACACCCACTTCATGAGTGAAATGCAACAGCCCCAAACTAGAATAACAAGGTGAATAATTTAAAAGGAAGTCTGTGTTTGCCTCTGCCCTGCAGTGTGTCCTCTGACAAGGGGCCTTGGGGCACACAGAGTGTAAACTTGACTAGAGAGATGGGCAAGATGGGGCTCATGTCACCAGGGAGGTGGCAGGAAGGCTGGTGCCAGGGTGCTTCAGGTCTTCCCTGAGCTGCCTTTTATTCTCTGAAGCCGGCACAGGTGTGCCGGTGATCCAGCCCCAAGGCAGCCACTGGGCAGTGCTAGCAGAAGTGCCCCGGAATGCTTCAGGACTCATTTTCTGGGGAGCAAAGTGGCGCTGGGTCACTGGCGGCCTTGTGCCCAGAGGTCTTGGGAGCTGTGTGGCTTGGCCATGTGGATGATTGGCTGAGCCTGTTGGCTCCACAGTAGGTTCCACAGCATCTCGAGGGGCCTTGGGTCCTGGTAAGGGGCTTCCAAGAGTGGAGAAGGGTGGTGGTGAGGTCAGGTGGGGGTCTGCGCTGGCATCAGGGCCTGAGGTCTTCTTGGTACAGGACTCACAGCACAGCCGGTGGTAGCCGGAAATGGAGCAGTAGCGGTCAAGCACTTCCATCTGGCAGAAGATGGACCTGTCTCCCACACAGGGCTCCACTGCACACACAATACAAGGACTGATGCTGGAAGGAGGCCCATCAGCCAGGTGACACCAAGACACAGTCCCCCACCTCCCACTCAGCCCACCAGCTGCAGGCCTTTCATCTCTTGCCCTGGCTGGACTCACTATAAAGCTTTATCCCAGTGGGAGACAGAGGGCTGCCTGACAGGAGAGACAAGACTAAAGAACAGCTCTTATTATGTGGAAGAACAAAAATCCCCTAGAGCAATGGTTCTTAAAGTGGGGTCCCCAACCTGCAGTGTCAGCATCACTTCGAAGCTTGTCAAAAATGCCAATTCTCAGGACTCATCCAGAGCTCCTGAATCAGAAACTCTGGAAGTTGGCCCCAGCTCTGTTCTAAGAAGACCTTAAGGTGATGCCATGCATTGGGAAACCCTGAGAACCACAGCCCTTCATCATTAGCTGTTAGACTTGGCTGCTAACTGGCATCACCTGGGAAACTTTATAAATAGCCGCTGTGTACCTCCCATATCCAGGGAGACTGGATGGTCTGGGTGTGGCCTGGGCACTGGGTGATTCTAATCTGCAGCAGGGCTTGGGAAGCCTGCTCTAGATGGAAGTGGGAGCCCTCGCTTCCTCCCGATCAATCCAAGGGAGTCTGATCCACCCAGCCAAGGCCAAGGTAATTCAACTTGTGACAAGCAGATAAAACTTCCTGCCACAGGCAGCACACATCTGGAACACTAAGCCCTCCACCAATAAATTTGGAATCAATCAGATGTAGGTTACAGTCAAGGCTCTAGAGGCCTTGGGCAAGTCAATCTCTCCAACCCTCAGATTATTCACCTGTAAAATGGGGATAATGCTGACATTTACCAATGAATAATAACATTATAAATAACATTTACAAAGTTCCTGGCATAGAGGGGTGCTCACTATACCAGTTTTGTTTGCTTCGGTTCATATAGCATCTAAAAATGGTTTGTGTTTCTGTGCTAACTCTGTGTAGAGACAGAACATGGAGGTGGGAGATTTGTGGCCTCTAGATGGCACCACAATTCTAGGACCAGAATCAGAACACCACCCTTTGCACTTGGGAGGAAAAGGAAAGGAAACCCAGGCACTTGCACAGCCTGAGCCTCTCAGCACAGGAGCAAAGAAGCAGCAGAGTTAGAACCAGAAAATCCTCTGAGGACATCCAGTCAGACTCCTTTATTTTACAGATGAAGTCACTGACCTCAGAGAGGTTCAGGGATTTGCACAAGATCACACAGTCAATTAATTGGTCCTCTAATTACAAGTTAGGGTCTGATCTTTCTGCTATTCATCTTGCAAAACCCTGGTTCTTGGGAAGGAGAGGAAAGGAAAGAGAAAAGGAATCTAGGAAGGGCACATACACATTTAGCCTGGTACATAGCAGGTGCTCGGTCAATATTTATTGATTGGTAGATGGGTGGATCAATTGATAAATGGATAGATGAATAGATGGGTGGGTGGGTAGGTGGGTGGATAGATGGATGGGTGGGTAGATGGGTGGCTGAATAAATGGGTGGACGGATGGGTGGTGGATCCAAGGTGAATAGGTGGGTAGGTTGGGTAGGTGAATGGATTGATGGATGAATAGATGGATGGATGGATAGATAGATGGGTGGGTAGAAGAATGAACTGATGGGCTCCTGATCATGAGGCAGACAGAAATAACTATTTTTTGTTAGCTCACAGCTGGACAGAATTGCATGCATTATCTCATTTAATTCTCACAACAGCCCTATGAAGGCAGCTCAAATCCAAAAATCTTGGAACCAGATATGATTCAAAATTCAGAACTTTTGATGTTAGAAAAATAATATCTGGTACATTCATATTAATAACATCCCCAGTGGAGACTGGGATGTCGTCTTATAATCAAATATGGCAATGTTTCTGTATCAGAATAACTAATCTCTTATTAGTTCTGGTCAGATTTTGCTGCCAAATAAGTCTGTATCAAATTAGGGGAAACAATTGCAGATTTCAGCATTTTGGAATTGCAGATAAGGGACCAGGGACCAGTACAAGCATTATCCCCACCTCACAGCTAAGGAATCTGAGGCTCTGGGAGGCTAAGGTCACAGGGTCAGACTGAAAGCTAACTCTGCTCCACTGCATGGCCCGCACTTGTGGCACCATGACCACTGGAAGGTCTGGGGAGGCGGTGGGGCCCAGAGATACACTTACTTGATGATATCCTGTTAATAGGATGCAGGGGCCCAGAATGTGGTATCCACTGCCTCTCTGGGGTCGCGAGTTCCCGGATGTCAGGCCTCCCTGTAGAGTTCTGGAGATTTCCTATGAACACGGAAAAGCAGCTCTAGTATTTGGGATTTCTAGGGAGCCAGAATGCAAGCCAGGCTGGGTCTCATGTCTAGGCCAGAAGATCTTGGCCTGCCTGTTCTCCCTCCCCCCGATTCTATCTGGCTCACCTCCGCAGGCAGGCAGGCTGCAGATCTGGACAGTGTCTGGCTTGTCCCCCTCGCACTGCCCAAGACTGTTGGCATTGGTCCGGCACACCACCTGCCGCTGCTGGATGCCCTCTCCGCAGGTGGCAGAGCACTGCCATGGGGGGGCCAGGTCAGGCCACAGTCGCCAGAGAGGGGCAGGTAGAGAGATAGAGGAAGGGGTGGTGAGCTCCAATCCAGGCAATGCCCAGCACAGAAAAGGTTCAAAGAGGGGTGCCAAGTCTCCACTTGACCAGCCTCACCAGGACAGCACACCAGTTATCAAATACTCCTGTCGCAGGTGGTAAATAGCCACCGTCCTAAGCTTAGAACCTCATGAACCCTTCTACCATGTACTAAATGGTTAACCTCATTCTAGCACCACTGTCTGCATCCACTCTGGTCTCTTTAAATATTTTGTGTATCACCATGGCAAACTCCCCTGTTACGATCCACCAGCTCTTGGGACCTAGGGCAGGTCTGTTTACTTGATGATATCTTGGTAACGTGATGCAGGGACTTGGATCATGGCATTTGCTAAACAGAGAGCTGGGTGACAGGGTCACCATGGACCCTTCTAGCTCTGACATTCATTGACTTTGCACCTCAATTTACCAAAACTCAGCTTGCAGAGGTATGTTGAAAAGTGTCTTCATGAAGAAAGGTGTGGTACAAGGAGCAGAAGCCAACTGCTTGCAAGGCCTGCCACACACAGCATCCCCTGAACCTCACACACTTCCTCTTCTGATAAACAGGTGGTGGTGGGTGAGGGCTGCTGTAAAAGCAAGGCTGCCCTGTGTGACCAGGTCACCAGGTTTTAAGCACTGACTACAGCCTCTCCTAGAATAGGGAAGAACTCGCAGAGGTCCACTTCTCATACTGGCCATGCGACAACCCGAGGGAGACACAAGGGTCAAGGGCACACAGAACCACAGGTCAAAGATGGCTAATTCTCCTGGGACGAATAATTATAAATGATAGCTCTCAAAGGCTTGTCATTCTTATAAGGGGCAACCATCTCCTACCATCTGTCACTTTTCTGTTAGATTTATCTATAGGGTCCTTTGTGGGACCAGCAATCTTTCTGTTTTATATTTTAAAAAGTAAATCTATATATTATGGAGAAGAATACAAAATCTGCATGAGTTTTATGGGGATTTTTGGTTATTTAAAAATACTCATTATTATGCAATATTTCAAACATACAGAAACATGAGGAAGTTGGTCGTGAAAACCTGTTCAAATACTACCTCCAGCTTTAATAAATTCAGCGTCCTGGCATATCTGCAAATATTGTGTAATGCCTTTTTAAACTTTGAAAAATTGTATCCCATTGGAAGTGCTTTTTTCTTACTTCAGTGCTTTTTCTCACCTCAATTTATTTTTCTGAGGTTTTATATATGTTAATAAGTACAGTTCAAGCTTATTCATTTTTCTTGATATATAATATTTTATTGCATGATTTTTTTGTCCAATCTCTTATAAGTGAATATTTTGCTATTGTGATAAGAATCATTGGGCTTATTTCCCTGATCAAATGAGATGTTTTTACTTATGGTATGTTTAATTTTTAACATATATGAAATTTACCATTTTAACCATTTTAGGTGTACAGTTCAGTGGCATTAAGTATATTCACACTGTTGTACAACTGTCACTACCATCGATCTCTAGAACTCTTTTCATCTTCCCAAACTGACATTCTGTCCTCATTAAACATGAATACCCTGCTCCTCCCTCCCTTCATCCCCTGGAAACCACCCTTCTACCTTCCGTTTTATTTAATGAATTCGACTACTCTAGGTATCTCATGTAAGTGGAATCATACAGTATTTGTCATTTTATGTCTGGCTTATTTCATTTAGCATAATGTCTTCAAGGTTCATATGAAATTAATTTTTAACAGAAAATCCAGGACATCAAAAAATGTCCCTGTGGCCACCTCTAAGGCCTAGCTACAAGCACCTGGACTACTCTACAGCCTTCTTACTGTTTCCTTTTTTCTACCCTGGCCTCCCAACAACGAACTTTCTACCGAGCTGCCAGAGTGAGCCTTTAAACCTGAAATCAGAGCTTGTAAAACCCACACTAAAACCCTTCAGCAGTTACCCATTGCTCTGAGAATATGTTCTAACTCCCCATAAAGCCATCCTCTCCAGTGTCCTCCTGCAGCCCCTGCCCCTTTTGTTAAGCTCCAGGCCCACCGTCCTTTTGGTTTCTGGAACATGGTAAGGTTGTTCTTGCCCCAGGGGCTTCTCGTGGCCCACCCCTCAAGTCTCAGCTCAAATGTCACCTCCTCAGAGAGGCCCTTTCTGATACATTAATCCATTCACTTCCTGCATAATTCCAACTGCAACTTGTAAATGCTTTTGATATTGGTTTATTCGTCCCTTATGTCTTTCTCACTGGACTATAAGTCCTATAAGCACAAGAATCAGATCTGTCTGGCTGATGCTGGATTCCTAGCATTCCTAGTTTAGTGTGCCTGGCATGTAGCTGGCACTCAGTAAATAGTTCTTGAGTGCAAGAATGTGCTTCAATTTGCTCATCTGTAACATGGGGATATTAGCCCATGTCTCCAAGCACTGCACGAAGGGAATGTAAGGGCCTAGCCCAGGGCCATGGCCCAGTGTGGGAGCTGTTCCACACAATTTGAGAAAAAACAAATCAGATAAGGGGAGAAAAAGTTAGCCAGAAACTGCCTGCAGGGAGCACCAGAGGTTCTCTCAGCAGTTCCACTAACCAGACCCACCCATCTGACTCTCCAGAGAAGGTGCCCCATTGGCCCAGTCCCTCCCAACCTCTGAAGACAACTCACCTGGGACCAGGCTCCTGTCCGCCACTGGGCTGGGCAGGGCACTCGGAGGCAGGGCCGCCGGGCCTCGGGTCGGTCCTCAGAGCAGGCCTTGGCTGGCATGGCCTTGTAGGTCCCATTGGAGAGGGGAAGCAGGCACTGTACCCCCCGAGTCTGCACCCCCAGCTTCCCACAGCTCCGGCTGCAGGTGCCCCACTCCTCCATCACCCACCTGGAGATAGAGCAGAAGGTGGAGGGGAGGTGGGACTGTGGAGACAATTCCTCCCAGAGTTGTTCCCACCCACCGAACTGCTGCAGGCAGGAGCCAAAGAGTGGATTTGGGCTTCAGAATGCTTGGGGGCCAAGACAACTGTCTACCCGGCTCTGCAGCTGCCAGACTGTGTGGCTCAGGGAAGTCACTTAATTTCTCCTCTGTCTCTTCATCTGAAAAATGGGTATAATGCATATTTAAATCCCGCATATCCTTGGGCAAGCTATTAACCCCTCTCAGCCTGTTACCCCATCTTTACATCAGGAATCTTCTGATACCTCATAAATATTTATTTAGGTGTCTACGGTGTGCATGCATTGTCTTAGGTGCAGAGAAAAGGTCATGCACAAAATAGATGAGAGCCATGGTTGTAGAGTAGAACCCCCTTCCATGGGGCTCTTGGGACAATTAAAGGACTTGAGATACATAAAGCACTTGGAAGAGTACATGGCATGAAGTAGGCATGTAATAAATGCAGGCACTATTACTAACACTGTCAATGCCTGCACAGTTCGGTACTCATCAGCTAAGCTGGTGGTAAACCAGGGTTCTTTGGCCAACCCCTTCCTTTAAAAATCAAAACCAAAAATCTCCAAAACTTCACTGGGCAATTTTACAGATAAGCTGGGGTGGGTTACCTCTTAGTCTTGCATGCTCTGCAATCACATACATTTGCAGGGAAAGTGGCCTGAATAACAGTGTACAGTAAGACATCAAAGGGAAGCATGGAGGGTTGAGGGGCTGGGGATCATGGCCTGGGCAGGGCACAGGGAGGGTGTGATGGGCTCTAGTGCTGATCACCAACTTTAGCCCTGGCCCTGGAGCTCCCCAGCCTGAGGGAGCAGGAGAGGCTGTGGGTCAGTGAGGCCAGTTGACACCCATCACCCCACCCCAGGAAGACTCCTAGGAGGCAGGAGAATGATTTGGCTCTCTGCAGTTTCCTACTGGCCAGCTATCCTCCGCCCTGCCTGGGAGCTGAGGAGGTGCTGGGTTGGCTCAGGGACAGGCTCAGAGGCCTTACCTTGAATCTTCCACAGTCACAGCTCTTTCCTCTCCCTAAAGCCCCCTCCAAATAACCCTAAGAACATGACTCAGTGCTCAAAAGAGCCTGAATCCTCGGGCCAAGGAACTGTAATCAGGGGCTAGAACACGGCGTGGAGCTAGTAGGGCAGGCTGAGTTTGTAGCCCACACGATCAGGCTGAGAAGAGCTGGTGGAGAGTGTCTTGGCCTGGGGCCTGGAGCCTGGAAGCACTGAAATCTGCTTCACCTCCAGGATCCGGCAGATCACTGAGGGAAAGCTCTGTCCCCAAATTGGGCCTCAGTTTCCCTATCTGTAAAAGAATGCTAGGAGTGACAAAGGCAGCATCCTCCTTCTGAGAGTGGAAGTTAATCCAGAAACCCAGAGGAGATGCATGGAGAGGAGGGCAGCACCGGCCATGGGCAGAGCCTGGTGTGAGCTGCTCTCTGCTCAGGGAGCCCTACCTGCAGGGGCTATGTCTCTAGGCCGCAGGACTGAAGGAAGCAGGTTCTGCAGGCCCTCCTCCGGGGCCAGGGCTGAGAGAAGGTCTCAGCACCCTGTCTGCAACAGCCCAGGTATGAGATCAGGTTCCTCGTTCCTCCCCCAGGCACTCACTCTGGCTGGGGGCACTGGTGCCGGTTGCAGCGCCGACGGATGGGCTTAGGCCTCTTCTTGTGGTCACACAGGTGCCGCTGTACCATGTGGTGGTCTCGTCGGCGCCGACAGCCATATTTAGTGAACTGGATACCTGTGCAGGGGCAGGCTGCGATAAGCCTGGTCCTGCCAGGCCTCCACTGCCCTGACGGGGGCCTGAGGACAGTATGCTCTGGAGAGCCCGGAGGGCCAATCCCATCCACCCTGGTCCTTTGCGCTCCCTCCTGCCCACATCACTTTCGGAGGAAGACTTCCTTGATCAGCCTGTCTCACAAGTCCCAGGTGTAGGCAGGTGGGGACATTGCTCTGGATGGTTGCCTTTCCTCACAGCTGTTGAGCTTTTACAGTGAAGAGGCCCTGTCCTGCATAGTGCTCTAGCACCCCAGGCCCATCCCAAAGGCCCTGCCCGGACAAGCTTCCGCATCCCAGATATCTTCAAGGAGAAACTGAGACATGAGCTAGGGACATGTTAAATGGTGACAATGTCAGCCTTCTGGCCACTCCTGTTCCTCTCCTTCTGAGAGGCTCTGGGCTGCCCCTACAAGGCAGCTGGATGGCTGGGGCAGCGGGGCCTGGGTGGGCCAGTACCTCCTCCACAGGCCTTGGTGCAGGGGGCCCAGCTCTTGAGTGCCCACTCATAGGTGTCCGTCTCCTCCAGGAGTACATTGTTGCTCCCGATAAGGGGGAGCAGGTCCTCATGGATGACATATTTGTAGGCCAGGCTGCTGCGGGGACCTCCCTCAGCTGGGGGGAGCACCTGAGGGAAGATGGAGGAGATGGTGGAAGACTAGAGAACAGAGAAACAAGGCCAGCATGGGGGGACAGGGGTAGAGAGGTCAAAGGGAAGGATGTGGGGTCAGAAGCAGAACTGGCGAAAGCCAGGAGGACAGCACCAAGCATGGCCTGGGGAGGCCATTCAGACCAGCAGCCACAAGGCAAACTCAGGCTAAGTACCTACTATGTGCCAGGCCCAAGCACAGCCTGTGTGCTTTTCCCTCCCACAGACCTAGGCTCTAATAGGGGCAGGAACGATGTCTGTTGGTCTGTCCTGCTCACGAGAGCATCCACACTGCCTGACTCTAGAGAAAGTCAATAAATTATAGACTGGATACTAGACTGACCAGATACATGATTACAAACATTTTCTCCCATTCTATAGCTTGCTTCTCACTTTCTTGATAATGTCCTTTGATGTACAAAAGTTTTCAATTTCCACAAAGACCAATTTACTATTTTTTCTTTTGATGCTCATGCTTTTGGTATCATATCTAAGAATGCAACGTCAAAAGATTTACCCCTGTTTTCTCTAAAAGTCCTATGGTTTGAGCTCTTATGTTTAGGTCTTTGATCTATTTTGAGCTCATTTTTGTATATGATGTCAGGTAGGGGTCCAACTTCATCCTTTCACATGTGGATATCCAATTGTCCCAGCACCATTTGTTTAAGAGATTATTCTTTCCCCCATTGAATGATCTTGGTATCCTTATTGAAAATCAACTGGCCATAGAGGTATGCACGATTAATAACTATAGGGTGCATAGAAAATACATGTTGGATTGAATGAACATACTGACACCAATAAGCCTCAGACCCTGCCCTCCAGAACCTCCCCAACTAAAGAGGGTAGCACCAGGAACAAAGCCTGTCCCAAGTCCCCAGCACCAGCTGGTACCAAGTGCACTGCAGACTAAGCCCCTACTGGTCTGGTTTCCTGGGTTAACAATCCCTGCTCTATAAGCCCTGGCCTACGGTCTAGGAAGAGGGGCTGTGCAGAGGTGGGTCCCAGCCCTGACAGTGGCCCTGTACTCCTCTCAGAAAGCCAGTGGTGCCAGACGGCAACAGTGGGTCAGTCTCCAACTCACTTTTGGCAATGCCATAATGCACGCTGATTCTGGATGATGCCAGGACAACACAGGAAATGAACCCAGGTCCCTCCCGTTCCTTCCAGGCCCCATTTGTGACCCTACATTAAGGAGAACACACTCCCTTTGCATGGCGTCTCTAGTCTGAGAGCGAGACAACTGTTTCTTTTTCCTTCTTCACTTGCCATCCTGCCAGCCTTTAAGCACAAATGAGGAGCTGGCCTGGGATGGAGGCCACCTTGGCCTTGCCCAGGCTCCTGAAGACAATGGAACAGAAGGATTTCCACCAGGCTTGTGCTTGACAGCAGAGTCAGTGAGCTAGGAAGACTGGGCCAGGGCTGGGGCGGGGGTGAACAGGAATCACAGTACAGGGCTGGGGCTCACCAGGACGGCGATGGCTTCAGGCAGGGGCCCGCTGGTCCTGAGGCTTTCCTTGGCATCCTCCACCGCATACTCCCACTCCAGGCCCACTGCGGTAAAGGTCCGGCTTGTAGCTTCCTTGCCCTTGGGGTTGAGGATGAAGCTGCCTGTGACCTGGTTCTTCACCACTGGTCAAGGAAAGAGAGGCACACAGATTTCTGTTCCCCTCCACAGGAGCAAGGGCCAGATCTCCTCAGGGATTTCAAGGCCTTCCCAGTGAGTTCTGCAGGATCCCCTGTCTACCTGTCACTCCTTCCCACCTGAGCCTTCCCCCAGTCAGATGGGCCACCACACTGCCTCCACACAGTGTCCCTGCCTCTGGACCCTGGTGCATACCATTCCTCCCACCCTCACTGTCTTCCCTTGTTCCTGTCCGATTAATAGCCACCTATATTTAAGGCTCAGCACAATTCTCTCCTCCTCCAGGAAGCCTTTTTGATTGCCCAGTCCTCAGGGATTTACCCTCCCTAAAACTTCTATAGCAGAGCATAGAAGTTAAGCATACAGGTCCTGAAGTCAGATTGATCACAGGGAAGTGCCTTAGCCTTCCTGTGCTGCCTCAGTTTCACCATTTGTAAAATGGAAATAATTGTGCCTAGATCTTAGGGCTGCTGCCCTTTGAGTACTCCCCCAGGGGCTCTTGGGACAACTAAAGGAGTTCATCTATGAAAAGTACTAGGCACAGAGCATGGTATGCAGTAGGTACTTAATACACGGTAAGCACTATTATTATCATCAGAAAAGTGCCTGACTTTTAGCACTGCTGAGATTATAAATGTCCCATCTCTCCCACAGCCTGTCAGCTCATCTCCTTTTCCGTGTCCTTGGCCCAGCCAAGAGCCTGGCTGGAGTGAGAGCTTTTTCAATATCTGTAAATTTCTACCCCTTAAAATCCCAGTCAGTGAGTAACTAAAAGGCACTGGGTGGGAGGTGTGTAGGTGCAGACACTCTGGCAAAGGCCTGAGTTGCTGACCCAGCTGCCCTGAAAGCAGCACGTCAGGGCTGTAGCCTGGGACTCAAGCCCCTCAGCCAGGTGGGGACAGGGAAAGGCTCCAGAGCCCTGGAGTGGCCCCTCTTGGTGCAGATTAAGATCATGGAGTATAATTGTAATACAAGAGCTAACAATCTAGAGCACTAACCACACACTGGTCACTCTGCTAACTGGCTCAGTAGACTCCTCACACATTCTGAGGTTGACACTATTCTTAATTCGGATGCGGAATCAGAGGCTCCAAGAAGGGCAGGATTTGTCTTAGACACACAGTGGGCTGTTGGCCCAGTCTCTGGAGGGCCAGCATGCCAGCTGAAGGGGAGAAGGAGAGATGCCCCCTTATCTCTGATATCGCTTAGCCCTCAAAATCACTAGACCCTCTGGGACCTGAGCTGGGCAGCTCCTCAGGCAGGCCCAGTCTCAAATCTTCCAACTGCCCTTGTCTATTCCCACATCTCACAGCAGCCGCCATCCCCACCCGCTGCTGTACGCCCCTCATTCAGAGGGGTGGTGGGCTGGGCTCAGCATGGACTCTACCATCCAGGCCTAGCTCTGAATCCTGGCCCTACCACTGACCCCCTCTGTACCTTAGACAACTATCTTAACCTCTTGGAATCTCTTTCCCCTACTACAAAATGGGATATAACAAAAGCTTTTATGGGGCTTAAATGAGATAATATATGAAAAGTGTCAACTCAAGGCCTAGCATACATGGTAGATATTAACAGCGTGACTTCTCTTCCTTTTAAAGAGCTGATGTCCCCAAATTCCAAGAGTCTAACAAATTTTGACAGGGCCTTGGCCTTCACTGCCAAAACTGACACCTGTCTAGGCTTCCCCAGAGAACACATATCAGGCACACACACGCACGTACACACTCACACATACATAGTTCGCACATTTTTACCAAGGGCCCACCATGTACCTCACACATGTATGATCGTACAACCTGTGCCAATGTCAAGTTCCACTCCCCTCCCCGTTCTGGCTCCTGCAAAGTTTCAACCCTTCAGTGAACTCACCTGATAAACACACAGGCAAGTGTGCCTGCACTGAATCTACCCCAGGTGCTAGGAGTCCCTGCCTGACCTCTATAGAAGTTACCTGGATCACTCCCTACCTGCAGAAGATCAAGGCACTAGACTTCCAGAGATAGGGAGAGAGAAGGGGCTGGCGAGAAAGCCCAAAGGACTGCTGATATTATGGAATCATCCTTAAGGTATAGTAATAGCCTGTGAGCTCCATTCCTCTTCCTGGAGTAAATGACCCTTCTCTTCCTGCGCTCACCTCTCCCCCGGTCCTTGTTCTGGCACAATTCCCCACAGCCAAAGTGGCAAGTGGGCGGGGAGTTGGCTGAGCCAAAGCCCTCCAAACTCACACTCCCCGTGCAGTAAGGTGTGGCTGACAAGAGCAGGGGGCTGAAGACAGAAGACCTTGGTCCAGCCTGGCTCATCCCATAGGTGAATCAGGGCACATAAGCTACTTTGGGCCTCCATTTCCCTATGCTCATTGGCTGCTTGGACTACACCCTCTCAGGTGCCTTCTAGGTCAATGACGGCTGTGCTAATGTAGATGCATTTTCCAGGGGAGACAAGTTCTGCAGGAGACTTTTAAAAAATGTCTGTATTATTTTGATGATAATCTAAAAATATAAATGTCAGCATTTTTGTGATATATAAACCTACCCAGAAAAAATATATTTTGTGTTCATATTTATGACAAGTCGATGCCAAGCAGTGTGACTTTGTGAGCATAATTGGTAGGAGGGACCTCTGTGACATCTCAAAGCTGGGTGACCTTGTAGCCCATGTGCCCTCTGTAAGGGGTATGGACACAGACAAGTATGGGAGAACCCATCCATTGCCCAAAGAGCAAACAACAGCTGGCTGCGTGCTTGTCTGCCAGGCCCCTGCTCCAAACCATGTTTATGTTTTTTTAAATTCAGATATAATTCACATACCATACAATCCACCCTTTTAGAGTGTGCAATTCAGTGACTTTTAGTATATTCACGAGGTTGTGCAATCATCACCACTGTCTAATTCCAGAACATTTTCATCATCCCCAAAAGAAATCTGAGACCCATTAGCAGTCACTCCCCATTACCCGCTCCCCCTAGCCCCTGACAACCACTAATCTATTTTCTATCTCTATGGATTCGCCTCTTCTGGACATGTTCACTTTTTGACTGCCAACTTATTTGCAGCAAGAACAAAACAAACAAACCAACGAAACATCTCTTTCATTACACTAATGTTTGAATTTTATTGATTTATTTGGAAGCCAAATAAATCGATATTTTCATCTGTCTTGGCTATACAGTTGTATAACTGTTATAAGTATAAAGGGTAGACATCTAGTTTAGTGACCATGTGTTTGTCTTTATGATGAGAATAATTGAAGGGTCCATGTGGTAGACTGCAAAAATGGCTACATATTCATCCTATTTCTGTATGCACGCCCCTTTGCTCTGTCTCACATCAAGAGATGATCTGTTTCTACCCCATGAGTCTGGGTTTGGCCATAAGACATGCTGGAGCCAATGGGACATTAAAAAGCATGACACAAGCAGAGACTTGAAAAGTTCTTGAACACTAGGATTGCCTGCTCTTGCCTCTCCTGAGACCCATGTGACAGACACCACATGTATAACCCTGGGCTAGCCTGCTGGAGACATGACCCTGTCACCCCTGTGACCTCAGCAGACAGCCAGTACCAACCAGGTCCCTATAGACCCACGGCTGACTGCATTTGCAAGAGTGAGTCCAGGAAATCAGGTAGAAGTGGCAACCAGCTAAGCCCTGCCCAAACTGCTAAACCACAGAATAAAATAAAATAAAAATAAAAAGGGGTTCTCTGCCATTTTCAAATTTGTGAAATCCTCCCTGCATTTGAATCCTCCTCTCTGCTCTCCCAGATCCCTCAAACCTGTGGGCAGGTCCCAGGGCCTGGCTGCCCCTCTCCCAGCACCTTGGCACTCACCAATGTGGTGGGAGGTCTTCTCCAGCTCCTCAATCTGGATGTGCCTGGCACCTGCTGGGATCTGTACCAGTTTGAGAGCTCCTGCCACAGAGAATCCAGAAAAGCTATAAGCACCGTGAGCTAGTGGTCCCACTACTCAGCAGACCCCACTTCCCTTCATCCCTACAGGTACCCAGGAATCTCAGTTTCCTGATCTGGAGAACAGGCATGGGCCCTTCCCCACAGGGTGCTGAGAGGATCATATGAGCTGCTGTAGCTAAAAATGCTCCATGAACTCTAAGGGGCGCCCTCGGTGTGTTAGCAGCTATTATTTCCCACTTTCTTGACCCTCTTCTTCTTTCCTGACTTTCCCTCCTCCCTTTCTTCTCACGACTTAAACCATTGTAGGGATTTAGCAGGCCATGAAGATCCACGCGGCTGCCCTGGGCCCCCATAGCCCTCTCGATCTGAGGCCCGGAAACAAACTTTTCTCAGAGCCACCAATCTACCCACAATAAGAAGAGGTGAGACAAAGCTGTAACATCCTCAAAAGGGAAATGGATCTAGTTCCTACTACAGTGTAAAGAACTAATATCTAGCCTTTTTAATAGCAAGTTTGGCCAAACTGGAGGTGGGGAGGGAAGTCAAGGAACTCAAAGGTACCAGGAATTCAAAGCAAGAGGCATCACAGGGTTTTTCTGTTTTTAAGTGAGACAAGAAAGGAAAAGATCACCAGTTCCATCCGAGCCACACTTTCAGACCTGTCTGAATCCTCGCTCCCACCAACAGCCCCAGAGCCAAAGAGATAGCTGAGCTCCTATCACAACACATTGCCTAGCAGGAAAATGCTTCTGAGCTCCTGGCCCCAAACCCAGGTAGCAGATCACCTAGAAAATGAGGTGACCAGGTATAGCTTCTGGTTTATCAGTCCTGGGAAGCCTGGGAAAGTCTAGAGACAGCTTCTAAGGCCAACTTCTCCCCACTGTGAACTGTGGCCCAGCTCAAAAAGGAAGGTCCTACCTGAAGGACAGCTCAGGATCTAGGAACCCTGGCTAGGCCAGAATCCCAGTCAATCCTGGTCATTGCTCCAGCCCCAGCCTGCTCACCTGCTTGTTTGGAGGCCTTGCCCAGCGTCCCCTTCACAGTTCTGCAGTGGGAGTTGTCACCGCCACAGACCCCGCATTTGTCATCTGCCTTCATGGACCCCACCTCCTTGTCACAGCCGACGGGCTGAAGCCAAAGGTGGGATCAGTGGGAGGAGGTTCCCAAGCCCCTATCACCACCCTGGTGTCAGCAGCCTGTGGCTCCCTCCCTGGTCCCCAGGCCCCAGACACCAGGGGACCCTAGACCAAGAGGCCTTCCTGGGCAGGGCTCTGCCACAAACTCACATGTGACATGGGCAAGGTCTTAAAACTGGCCACTCCTCTCCTCTCGAATGGGACTGGATTGTTTGGAGGCCTTCCCAGCACCCCAGGGCTATGTTGAGGACATAGGGGTGTCATGGGTGAGGACAATGAGGCAATGCTTGTCTTCATAGGGAGTAGAAGGGGTAGGCAATGTAGCCCTCCAGTCCTCTGGGGCTGGCAGAGGGTGGGTGGCCCGGAGTGGGGCACCTACCACACACTCGCCACGGGCACAGATGCTGTAGGGATCCCGGTAGCTGCATCGAGTCCCATCATGGACCACCTGGTTCATGAAGACCACGTCCCCTGTGTCCTCTGACTGGCAAATCAGCTCACACTTCTGGGTGTCTATGGGGAAGGAAACCACAGTGAATGTCCAGCTGGGCCAGGAGAAAGTGGGCTGACCCAGGACAACATCAGCACATGGCCCAAGCAGAAAGTGCCGGAGCCAGCTCTGGACAGAGGGGAGCACTGGGACTGGGGCTTAAAATTTCTATGTCACTTATTTATTAGCCATGTGACCTTGGGCAAATTATCTGACTTCTCTGGGCCTTCGTTCCTTATTTCTTATCATCGATCAGTAAAATGTCCCATAAGTTTGTTGAAAAAAAATCAAGCGATAAAATAATAACAACAATAATAAGCCAACACTCAGTGAATGCTTACTGTGTGCCAGATGTTCCCCAAACATTTACACATTCTTCACATATAACTTTAATTGCTTTTTGTGAATCAACTCATTTAAAACTTTCAATACCCCCAAGGAAGTTGCTTCTGAGATTACAAAGGAGGAAACCAAGGATGCAAGAGTTTAAGGTATTAGCTCAAGGCCACTCAGCCACACAATAAGTGTGAGAGCCAGGATTCTAATCTAGGCAGCCTGGCTTGAGTCCTGCTCTGACCTCTACATACATTTCACCAGTCACACCTACGATGGAGTATCTATACATGCTTCTAACATTAGAAAGCTGCGTGAAAGACAGGCAGAACAGTGGTCTGTGTTTGGGTTTGTAAAATGGAACAGCAGTGAAAGAGGGTCCTTTCAAGTCCTAACAATTAAATGTTTTCTTCTCTGTCTCGGCTATTGATGTCCTAAAAAGGAGGTTCCAGAGAACATATAAACACTCACTGTGTTTCTTAGAAAAAGGGAGGTCGGGGCTTAGCTAACTTCCTGGAATTTGTCTAAAAGTCCTGGGAAAACCCTAAGTCCAGCCACCCCATCAGACTACACCACTCCTCACAGTCTCTTGCTGCCCCATGCTGTGGCGGCTTGCTTGGGTTCTGACTGGCTCTGCAAGGCTTTCGAAGCAAGCTCCTCTCTTGGCCAAATTTCTAAGGAACTATCTGGCTCCTGTCCCGGTCCCCGGGCTTTTGGGTATACCTAGCACTCAGGATTCGAGTCCAAAGCCACAATATCCAATTCCACTTTGGATTTTATACACAGGAGCCAGATTCCCGGTGGGACCTAGGCCAGGGCCGAGGGGTGTGGGCTCCAACTGTCCCAAAGAAAGTCAGGACCCTGACCACTACGCCCCAAACAGCTGGGTCTTGGAGCAGCAATGGAAGCCAGCCCGCAGTGGCAAGGGAGTAGCGAGCTCCCCAGAGTGAAAGGAATCCAAGCAGAGGGAAGACATTCCATGTAAGCATGTTCCAGAGGGGCCTGTGCACTAGCAGGTAATCAGCAGGCCTCTGAGGTCCTTTCCAACTTGAAGATTATCATTCCAAACATGAGCTGAAGAGCTGCGGGTCCTACAATTGATAATCGGGACAGGGCTACAAAGTGGCGACCAGGGCTTAGGAAAGGAAAAGCCGTTCTAATCAGCACTGTCTGAAACTGAGAGCTACACGGTAGGGGTGAGCACTGTGGAAGGATAGTGCAGAGACTGGCAGGGGGAGGTAGGCTCAGAGGATTGTTAAGGGTCCTTTCAGCCTGAAGTACCATGAATCCCAGTCCTTCGATGGCTTTTCTCTGCCACTACAAGAGCCATCACTGGAAATGTTCCACAACAGATAGCACTGGCACTGGCTTTGCCACCTCTGTACAAGTCCCAAGACCCGTGTCTCTTCCAGAGAAGCCTAGATGGGCTCTGTATGAGGATTCTATAGGCTCCCATCCGCCTGCCTTTCAGATCATTTTAACAGCTGAAATGGTAGTTTAATCAGTAAATCCTAAAACCATGGCATGTGATAGGTCCGAGCTTTTCAGGACATTGGTTCTGCAAAGTGAGGGGCCACTGCATCTGTACAGTGCCTTCTTGCACAGGGAAGAGCATGTGTGAAAGGCACCAACCCCAAAAGTCAGCAGGGCTGCCGGCCTCACAGCACCTCAGAGTGAAGTGCCCTTGCTCAAGACATTTTCCTGTATCTCCAGAAAACAATCATCATAAGTATACATCTCCAGAAAACAATCATCATAAGTATATAAATCAGGGATGGCTTTGATGAGGATGGTGGCCCACAAGGTACACAATGCAAAGGCCTGCATGGACATATGTGGCAAGCCTGTCAACTGCGGTGTCCCTTTTGGAGCCCACACTGTCCCTCCCTCCACCTTCACTGGTGGGCCCAGGCAAGGGAGGTCCTGCCTGGCAAGACATAGACCCAGCAGATACCCAAGGACATGGGGGGTAGGAGGGGGAGCAGGGCCTGCTCACCGTCATCAGGCTCATAGGGGACCCAGCTGTGCTTGGTATTCTGATGGATGTAGTAGGAGTTGCGCTTGGCACACTGCTGGGTCCGGAAGTCCTCGTAGGGCCCCGGACACTCCTCAGTGTTGCAGACCTGGTACTGGATCATGGGCCCTGAGCACAGTCGGCCTCCGTAGGCTGGGCTGGGGCAGGCACAGGGAAACCCGGTGACTTTGCTGGCTGGGAAGGACTGGGCTTCCCACACGTTACCAGGGGCAGTTTAGCCTTTTAGAGTAGCATTAAAAGGGGCTCCACTAACATAACTAGAGAGAGACCTCAACTTTGGGGGCTGCTGAGCTCAGAGCCTGCTGGATCCCTCTGGCTCCACCCTTCAGGCATAAGTCATCTATTCCACTGTGTGTGTGTGTGTGTGTGTGTGTGTGTGTGTGTGTGTGCATGCATGTGTGTAGGGGAAGAGGAGGAAAAGAGAGAAAGAGAAGGGGAAAGAGAGGTGAGCAAGAGATGTGGAAGATGGGAATGACTGGCCTGGAAGAGAAATCAGTCTTATTCATCTTTGTCTTATATTATTTAACTGTTACACAGGGCCTGACATACAGCAGGCACTCAAATGACTCAACTATTCCTATTTGCATTGCTTCTATTTGATATCCTAACAAACTAAAGGATGGTAACGGAGGCTTGGATTTGGAATCGGAAGCTCTGGTGAAATCTAACCCCAAGTCCTGACTGTGCGGTCTCGGGTAAATCACCCAGTCTTGCTGTGCCTTTATTTTCCTTTTAAATGAGGGACCATAATACCTCTTATTTTACCTACCTCTTGGTGTGTCTGTGAAAACTAAATAAGAAAAGGTATTTTAAAGCAATCTGTACTCTCTTCTCCATTAAATTCAGAGGATGAGGTAAGATTATGGATATGTTAGGCATCCTAATTCAGGAGGTAATCTGCTCTGAGGTGACAGGAGAATTACATGGGTTTATGCAGGAAAGTGTTTAACATCCCACCTGGCATAGAGAAAGAGCTTCATATACTGTAATAATTATAACAGCAGCTGTCATTTATTAGTGCTTCATCTGGGCTGGGCATGGTGCTGAAAGTACACATATTATTTCATTTAAGCTGTATAAAATAAAAAGTTATTACAGAGAAGTTCGATAAATGATAGCTCTGATCAAGGGGATAACCATCTATCATGACTGGAAGGTGGTTTATTCAGAGTGGGCGCCACTCAGTTTCTCTAACCCCACCTTTCATACCCCCAACAGGCGGAAGTTACAAGGCAGTTCATTTTGGCTCATATACGTGGAAGGTCAGTATAGCGATCTGACATGGGAATAGGCCTCTCAAGACGGTAGTGGGTTTCTCAACCCTGGAGGTAAACAACAGAGTATGGGGATGCTAGAAGGAGGGTGACCACTACTAAGCCACTATGATGCTAGGATTCTGTTGTCATCATCCCATCTCTCCGTGATGAGCGGTTGGCCAGGCACTGCCCCTCAGAGGTTCAGAACCCCACACCAGCCCTGGCCAGCCCCCATCTCTCATGAGGCTGTTCTAAGCAGGCTGCTTCAGCCTGGGAGATGGAGTCTATGCAGAGCTGGTGCTCAGAAGTTCCAAAACTATGGGAGGGGTCCCCACAGAGGGGACAAAAAGGGAGATATAGAATGCTCCCCCAGAATGCTAAAAGTTGGAAGTGGGAAACGAGTCAGGGTTTGATATTAGAAAAAGGTTAAGAAAAATTAAAGGAAGTTTTGCTTCATGTGGTAGAAAACAAACTTGGGGGATTTATTCTCCCAAGACACGACTACTAAGCAATTTAGATCAGTGTTTTCTCAAAGTTTAGCCAGAGGATCAGGGTCATGAGGGGCTTGCTAAACTGACAGTCTTGGGCCCCCCAGAATCTCCAGAAAAACTTTGGCACATAAGTTTGAAAGTCACTGATTCAAACACATTCTCAGATGTCAGACCCAGGTGGAAGTGATCTGTCCTCCCCTAACCCTCCCCGCACAATTTTGAGTCCTCATCAATTAGAATAGACAACCACCTGCAGGGGTCCCTCTCTCTTGTGCCTTGTCCCTCATTGCCTTCCCCTCCAAGCCCCTCAGGCCTAAAGATAGGGGTCCCCTGCCCTGCCCACCCCAGCCAAGCATACTTACAGGGGATTGTCACAGTTTCGGCTACGGGATCGCACCCCGCCCCCACATGACCGTGAACATGACCCGAAGTTGGTCCAGGAGCTCCAGCCTCCATCCTGACCGTAGGTCTGCTCCGGTGACTTCCAGATGCAGTGACCTTTGAAGCACCACTGGGATGGAACAGAAGGCGTGAAGTCACCCTGGGGCCACAGCCTCCTAGCCTGCCATGGAGGGTGTCCAGCCAGGCACAGGTCATAGCTGGCGGGCACCACGGATGAGCCCAAAGAAAGGGATAGTAAGAGCACAAGCCTCGGGTTACACAGAATCCCAGCCTTGGCCTGAGTTGAGTGACCTTCAACAAAGAGCTCCCTCCTCTGAGCCTATTCTTTAACTGAACAATGTGGATACTAGCACAGGGCTGCTAAGAGCATTCAGTGAGGTAACACCTGGCACACACAGGCCTCCGGAAATGGCAGAAAGTATTATCAATGATGGTGATAACTCTGTGTTTATTTGTTCACCACCCCAGTAGAAATAAAGGACTGATAGGGGAGAGAAGACACAATCTTCCCACACTATCTAGAGTTGATCTTGGCTCTGTACCTTGAAATTACCATCTAGGGGCCACAAGCAGATGTGTTCATGGAGGCAAGCCAGCCCCACTGGGAGGCCCGTCCATGCATCGAGTCCAAAAGGCCTGGGTCTGAATCCCAGCTCGGTCATTCCTAGCTGTGTGTGGCTTTGGCATAACTTCACCTTGCTGAGCCTCAGTTTACTCACCTGTTAAATGGGGCTGTTCTAAGAACTGAAGGCAATAACGCCTGCGAAGGCCTTAGCCCAGGGCCAGGCACGAAGTGGGGCTCAATCAAAGTTAACTCCCTTCCTCTGTCCTATAGGGCAACAGGAAAGAAATACAGCAAAGCTCTCCAGGTCTTTTTCAAGAGATAATGCAGTGGTTCTCAGCCTTGCAGTCACTTGGGGAACTTTTAAAACTCTAGATTCCTTGGCGTCACCCCAGACCAACTGAGTCAGAATCTCTAGGGGAAGGAATTTCTTAAAGAAGCTGTAATGAGAGATATACTTTACATACCATAAAATCCACTCATTTCAAGTGTAGTATTCAATGATTTTTTCATAAAGTTACAGTGCCATGCAACTGTCACCACAATCCAATTTTAGAATATTTTCCATCTCTCCAAAGAGATAGCTCACCCCCATATGCAGTCACTCCCTGTTCTAGGGGTGGGGACTTTTGAAGCTCCCCAGATGGTTCTAATATGTGGCCAAAATTGAGAGCCACTGATGAACTGTTATGTGAAATTGTGACAGGAGAGGGCCTGGAACTCTGATAACACATGGAAGGGGCATACTCAATCTCCAGAACGATAGCCTGCCAGGTTTGGAGCCCAGTGGGCCTGAACAAGGCCACAGGAAGCCCTATCCATTTGTGAAGGAACAGACCATTCACAGAAGTGGGTGAGAGGAGCCTGGTGAGGGCAGAGGACAGGCTGGTGGGGGCAGGTCCCCTGTGGCTAAGCTCACAGCTAAAGCTGAGTAATCATCACGCCTCTCTTAACATCCTGCTTCTTCCAAGCTCTCTCATTTGTTTTGACATGACTCAGTAACTTCAGAACCACCTGAGGGGTGAGAAGGATGTCTGATCAGGGGTCAGCAGGACAAGTTCAATGAATGGTCCAAGGTCACCACACAGCTATCAGAGCAGGGCCAGCAATAGAGCAGAAGTAGGTTTCAAACCCCTGCTCAGAGCTCTCACACTTGACCACAAGGTCTCACTGACAAAGGAAGCCCTGGCCCACACATGCGTGAGGAAGCGAACACACACCAGGAAGATATGTGAAAAGTCAGGCTTACAGGGGAAGAACATGTGTGTAGGAGAAACAGCATGTGGAGGGGAGGCAGTAGGCAGAACACCTGGAGCCCTCCCTTCATCCCTTCTCTGCCAATTACTCCCATGTAACCTCCACAAGTTCCTTCACCTGCCTGGACCACACTCTCCTCATCTGCGAAATGAGAGTAAGCGTCGGCCAGATGGGCTAGGAGGTAATGAGGCACTCTGCAAACTGTAGAAGCAAAGGCTAAGATGTGGGAGAGAAAAAAAGGTGTGAGTGTGTGTGAGTTCATGTGAGGCCTCCATGCACATGGGGCTCACATCTGTCCTGTAGCGACACCCCCCCACACACATTCATTACACACTTGGAGGGGAGGCAGAGGTTCCCCAGGAAGGTCACTCCTGCTGCAGACCCCAGTTCCACAGGTACCTTTCCTGGTGCACATTCAGTCCCGTCCAGTGGGGGCCCCTTCTTGGTCTTGCAGAAGTATGGGTTATCAGGGTGGCTGCACCACAGCTGCTTGCAGGGTTCAAAGGTCGTGAACTGCATGGCAAGGGGAACAGGGTCACTGGGCTGATTAGCTCTCCAACTCTGACGTGGTGTCTAGGGGGCAACGGACAGTGACAGAGAGAGAGGAGGAAGTAGTGGAAGCTGGGCCCCAAATGCTGCAAGGGAAGTGAGAGGGGCCAGTCCAGCCAGAGCCCTTTGCACCCCCAAGCTTGACCCTACCCCAAGTGCCAGTGGCCTCCAGTGATGCCTCCTCTCTCCAACAGGGCACCAAGAAGAAGGGGCCAGCCATAGCCCATCCTCCTCTTTTCTCATTCCCCAGGCCTCCGTCCCTGCTTTTGCAGAAGCCATTTTGTCACTGAGTAAGGACTAAGGTTTGAGGCTGTAGGGAGGCTAAGACCCTTGATGCCCCTGAGACTTTGCATGTAGGGGGCATCAAGGGAGCTGCTGGTCCGGCCGAGACCCCACAGCACCCAGACAAGGTCAGGACTCCCATCTCCCTCCAATCTCACCCAGCCATGACATAGGTTAGTAATTATGTTTCAGATTGTACAAGAAGCCCTCAATTTTCTTTTCTGTCCTATCAGCCCCTGGTAGCTAGACAACTGTCCTTACAAATACAGCATTTGGGCACTGAAATCCCATATCCCAGGTTCTTTTTCTACCCCTAAAGCAGAGACCACGTGTCCCAGTGTGGCCTGGGCGGTGTGGAAGGTGACCGTGCACAGGGTCTCCTGGTCCTGCAGAGCTGAGGAAGGGGCTGCAAATCTGGATGGGGGTTTGAAGCACTCACGTCACCAAGCTCTGGCCCCCTGGAAAGCGCCCTGCCCTGGGATGTCCCCTTCTCTGAGCCTGTGCCAAGGCCCTGGTTAGCAGCTGTTCCCCTCTTTCTCAGGGCTAAAATATTCTTCAGCCACTGCCAAGTGCCCACCCTAACAGGTGGGCCTGGGTGGGGCAATATGTAGAAGGTGGCAAAGCCTGGACTCGGTCACCATGTATGCCCCTGATGGCATCCAGCCTGCGGGCCCATCTCTAGACCATCAGCCTGGCTGGGCCAAAGGTGCTCTGTGAATGACCAGCCTGGGTTACAGAAGGATATGGCACTGGAACCCAGCTGGCAGAGGCCGATGGGAACTCACCGTGGAGCAGGTGTGGTACCCAGTGCCAAAGTCAAAGCGGCACTGCTCGTCCATTGAGTAGTCGATGCCAGGCAGCTCTGGGGGCTGGGGCCAGGAAGGCGCAAAGGGGTCGTCAAGGAGGCAGTTGTAGGAGCTGCCAGTGGAGACAGGGAGGTGAGACAGGCTGAAGCTTGAATTCCCAAGGTTTAACTAGCAAGGAAGGCCTGCAGGAATCCGCCCTGCAGCTCTGTGCTGGTCTTCCTGGGAGGGTGGCTGCCCTGAAACCCCTCTTGAACAGGACCTCACGTCCACCGGCAACTGTGTCTGGGGGGCTCCAAAGCAAGGGCACCCAGGGCTGGGGGTTAGGAGTTCAGCTTGTAGCTATCTTACAGGGCAAGTTTTGCCCATGTTAGAGGGACACACTATAGTCAAGATTAAGGGTTGATTCACGGACAAGTTAAGGGCTCATTGCACTGAAGGTAGAAGAAAAGTCAGCCTGCCATGCAGAACACGGGACGCGGGGCCCTGGCTAGGGGCTGGGTGAGGTCAGTGTCTTGTCTGCACCTGCCTCACCCAAATACACTCTGTACCCATTCTCAGCATTGCGCTCCCAAGTCTAACACTTGTGCTGACCAGCAAAGCATGGAATTGAGTGTGTGTCAGGGGAGGGATGGTGTTGGGAGGGCGGATGACTCGGGGGAGATGAAGTGGCAGACTGCGTGGGCCCTAAAGGCAGAGGTGACCTACGGGAGGTAGCGGCTGAGTTCCAACTTGCTGCAGCGGGACCAGTGGAAGCGGTGGAAGGCAGCCTGCACCAGAGGCGCCATGACGCTGCCCAGGCTGGTCTCATCTGCACAGCCGTTCCCCTGACCGTCATGCTCCATGCCGAGCCTAGAGGGTTGGGGGACGACAGAGGGGAGTGCAGAGTCATGCCCAGGGAGCCCACTTCTGGGAAGACAAGAGGTGGGCCAGAAATGGGAGACTCTGCCCTGACCGTGCTTCAGACCGCCTCCTGGCCGCAGTTTCCCCACCATGCCGTGCAGAAGGCCACGCCTCTGGATGAAAGCCGAAACCCCACTCTGCCCTTCAGCAGAGCTGGACTCATTCTGCCCTGACCTCAAAGCCTTTACCCCTGTTATCTCTACTCCCAGACACCCTGCCCCCGCCTCAAGCCCCATCCACATCCTAATAGCTTCCGAGGACAGTTCCAGCCCCACTCCCCGCCCCGGGACACCCTCCCTGGCCACTTGGCTTCTGTGCTGACCTCCCATAGCAGGAGCCACCTCTATCACCATTAACAACTCGCATGCAATGAGCTGTCTTCCCAGTGAGGCAGGGTCTCATTCAGTTCAGTTCAACCTCATTTGCTGAGCCGGCCTCTTAAGCTTCTCCCAGACCCCTTGATATTTGGCATGTAGTATGCATCTACCACAGTGATAGTTTAAATTTTAAAGTCTGCTCTTTATACTTGATATTTAATGTCAAAGCCCAAAGATTCTAAATTCTTAAATACTTCCGGGTGGCCGCATCTGGCCTTGACCTCTGGGTGGACACATAGGCTTCTAAGCTTGACCTCGTCTCTCCGCAGGGAAGGGCCACCACTCAGTGAAGAGTGGACATCCCCTGCCCGCCACAAACAGAAAGGCAGACTCCTGGCTCAAGAATGTGTGGAACCATCGGCTTCGAGGGCAGGAGGGGATCTCAGAGGCAGCCCTGATATCAGCCTCTATGCTGCAGATGAGGAAGACAAGGCCTAGAGAGGAGGTGCCGCCTGACCGGTGAGGGGCAGAGCTGGGATGAAATCCACACGGGACTCTTGAGCTGACAGGGCTGATGCAGAGAGGGGCACAGAGAATGTGGCCTGCTGACCCCACTCTGGGGCTGGCCCACTCCTCTCCTTCCCAGGTCCCTCGGACTACAGATAACAGCCTCATTCTGTGTGTGGGCTGGACAGCGTGTCCCTCAGCTCTGCCCCTATGGACAGACAAGGCTGGGAGGCATGACGGTGGCAGGTGCACATCACCATCTGACATATTGGATAGAGGCTTATTGGCTTTCTCTCAGCATGCAGCTTCTTATGTGCTCTCTGTTCTGTTCTTCACTGCAGCCCCATTCCTAGAACTGGGCCTGGTGCACAGTACTCAAGAAATACTGATTGAATGAATAAATGAAATCCAGGCCAAAGATCAAGCAAGCCAGCTGCCAGCCTGGCCAGTGGCCTGAGTCCAAGTGCATCTATTTATGATGGGCTTAGGCCAGCCATCCAGTGTGTGCTGAGTACCAGGTGGGCTGGAACAGGTCTCAGAAGGTCCTTGCGGTATGGGTAGGACAGAGGGATAGAGACCACCCAGACAGCTGATCACTGCCTATTATTGTACACTGCCATTGACTTACGGAAAGGCAGGGCCACATTTGGTCTCCCTTGGCCGTGGGATATGGGGGATGGGTCCAAGTCAGGCCCAGAATTGCTGTCCAGGCCCCTGGTATCCCTCCCCATCATGGCAGGGCCTCGCTATGTGGGCAGATCCTCTGGCATCTCCTAAGACACTGGGACTGGAGCCCGATCTGGGGCAAAGCCTCCCACACTTACAGACCTCCTTGGAGCTCATGGCACAGCCCACCCTCTTGCTGCCACTTACACATGACCCGTCTCATGGGCCACTACAAAGGCTGAGGAGAAGCCATCTTCATGGTTGAGGGCACAGCTTCTCAGGGGATGGCACATGCCAGTGACAGGTGCGTACCCTAAAAAAAAGAGACAGAGGGCAGAGAGATAAGTCATGCACAAGTTAAACAGGACATGATGTGGTCTGTGCCTAACAGCCTGACCTGGGCACATCCTGACCTGGTCACTGCTAGAGGGTCCCTGGAGGAAGAAGGATCCTTGCAAGGTCCCACCCACAGCAGAGCAACCTAGGCCACATCCTAAGGCTGTACGGCTTCCCTCTAGGCCTATAGCCTCCCTGGACCTGTTGGTCCCTCCTCCAAACCAGGCAGTGGGGTTTCCAGACAGACCCTGAGCCTGCACACACCCCGCTTCCACACCACATCCCTCCAGCCAGCCAGTCAGTTGGTCAGTCACCAAACAAACTTATCTTATAGGAAGGTATGGGTGGCACTGTATTAGATACTACGGAAAAAATAGGAAAATCAGTTCCAAACTCCCAGCATTTCCCTGCCACAAACCCGCACATTAAGAAACAGATGGCATAGCAGAGCGACTTGGGGTTAGAGGTCAGCTTAGGTGTGGCGTGCAGGGCCCGAGTTCAAGGAGCACAGAGGGGAGCGCAGGGATGATCTGGAGGAAGAGGATGGTTTCAACTGACGGGATTGAGGGGGACCAGGGAATGACTTACGGGGGACATAGAGCTGGGCCTAGAGGACAGGTGAGACAAATCTCCAGAGGTGGGGGACAGGACACATTGTGGGGAGAACATGGGCAAAGGTACAGAGATGGCTGTGCGAGGCCTCAGGGTGGCCAAAGCTTCATGTGTTTGCGGAGTGTTTACGGTCATACGCTGTCACAGACATTTCATGTACCCCCTCAGCCATTTTAGCAGCCCTGGAATGGAGGAAGGCAAACACTATCATTTTCCTCAATCGATAGTTGGGAGAACCCAGGGAGATGAAGTAAGCTAGGACCACTGGGCTAGAGAGGCGTGGAGCTCCAAGTAGAACATGGACTTCCTTTCCAAAGTCCACACGAGCCCACCAGGTGCCACCTGGCTTGCAATGAGGGCAAATGAATGCGGTGCAGGAAAAGGTAACTTGAAGAACACTGAGGCTCTTCAGGCAGCCAGGCTCCGGGATGGCAAGCACAGAGCTACCTGCAGGCTCAACCAAGACGGCAGAGATCACAGTGCGGACCCTTTGCTTCTCTTGGTCTCTAAGAAATCACTACAAACTTGTCCACCTGTCCATCCAGGTTCTGTCCCCAAAGTCCCATGGACCTCTTTACTAACAGGGAACTTGACTTCCCGGCCTCTCTGGGGTAGCCCCAGAGCACCCCAGCCCTGAGTCTTAGCCTCTGCCCTGCAGCTGCACATACCTGGCCACGGCAAATACAGTACCTTGCATACCTGAGGGCCCAAAGTCCTGCCGGGTGAGGAAGACAACGTGGTCGTGGTGCTCTGCATGGCCGGGGTCCTGGCGCTGCTGAGTGTGCGCCCAGCGACACACCTGCTCCAGGCTGCGAGAGGGGTTCCCACGTTCAATCAGGCTCAGGGACTGTGGGGGCCGAAGAGCATCAACAGTGGAGCAGTCGGTCGGAGCCCCCAGACCGCAGCGGGCACCCAGGGCTTCCCTCCCACTGGCAGAGGAGAACATTGAGGCCCATGGGACTGCAGTGCCTATCCCAAGGTCACGGACTCCAGCTGCTACTGGCACGCAGCCCTCCCACTTCATGCAATGTTCACGCACCAAGCCTTGTGCGAGGGACACTTGTCTGCTGAGAACTTAACACACGTTATCTCTAATCCCTCAACTAACCCACAGGCAGGTGTGGTTCTGAGTATTTTCTATACACTATATGTTTGTTGTCTCATTTAATCTTCACAATAGCCTCTGGAGAAAAGTTCTGTTGTTATCCCCCTTCTGGGGAAAATAAGCGACTGGTCTAAGATGGCAGAGCCCAGGGCCCCAGGGCCCCAGGGCCCAATCACAGATGGACTTGTTTTGGTCGCTGCCCCTCTGTAAGCCCCACTTTCCCATCGATTCCTGAGAAGAGGGACCTCAGCTGTAAGGGTATAGGGTTGTCCATGTAGCACATTGGAGGGAACCCAGAAGTCTCTGTTTACTATCCCCAAATGCCTCTGCCACTGAAGCCTCAATTTTAATAGTCTCAGAGTTCTGATTCTGGACACCAAATGCTCCCTAGAGGCTGTCTCACCGCAGCCAAGTCCAATGCACTGGCCACTTAGCCCTTCTCCCTCCAAATCCTGCCTGCTAACAAAGGGTGTTTACCTGTCGGTAGCCGACCATAATCAAGCGGACAAGGGCAATGTTTATGTGGGCTCCCAGGGACTCGTCATGGTAAATCTCATTCACCTGCAAACAGAGAATAGCACAGTTTCAGGGCCGCAAACATTCATTATGGGCCTACTAAGTAACAGGTAATGGGCCATTTCATCCTCACCATGGCCTTATCAGGCAGGCATTCTTATCCTTACTTAACAGATGAAGAAACTGAGGTAGAGAGAGGCAAAATGACCTGCCAAAAACCATAAAGCTAATGAGCTGCACAGCTGGGATCCAAATCCTGGCCTGCCTAATTCCAACCCTAAGCTCTCTCCACAAAGGCAAGTTGAGAGGGGCCTGGTCTCAAACTCAGCCACTCTGATAAGGACTGTCATCTTTCCACAACTCTGAAGAGTCCTTCCGGAAATGTCACCTCAGTTGGGCTGCTCATCCTCACATTCTTGAGTACCTCCCCAATTGCCACTGCAGTCATCTGTCTGCCCTGTAGTGCCTGGGGACTCCTCCTCTAGGGCAAATCCTCAGGAAGTGCTCCAGGACCTTGAACCTGCAGCATCACCACCACCTGGGAGCTCATTAGAAATGCACAGCCTCAGGCCCACCTCCCAAGTCAAAGTCTGCATTTGAACAAGATCTCCAGGGCTTCTTAGGCACAGTTAGGTTTGAGGAGCATTGCATTAGATAGGTCCCTTCTCCCATAGCCCAAGTACCTGTGGGACAGTCCTTGCACAGTTCATCGAAGAATGTATTCCCCTGTTTTCACTACTTCCATCTCTCCATGGCCTTCAGCTCATGAGCAAAGTAACCAGCCTACAACCCACAAAGGGATTGCTGTCCACCAAATGGAGAGGAACAGTGAAGCCAACCCTGTATGTAAGAGTTCCTTGGGAAGGAAAAGGCCAGGAGGGGGACTGGAGGCTTCTCCTGTGCCAACACACCCCTCCTAGCCAGCCAAGGACAGAGCCAGCCTATGGGCACAGAGCTACGGCAGCAGAAGCTGCATGCACGGCGAGCTCCCGCCCACTCTTCCAGTGCCCACAACTGGCAGCTGCCCCAGCTCATGAGGGTGCCGACCAAAGAGCAGCCAGCATCAGGCTTCCACCAGGGTCTGCTTGGCATCCATGTCTGGACCCAACTTAGACCAAAGACCGGTGCCCATTGTGGGACAGCAGGTCCCCACGAAACTCCAACACAGGGAATGACAGGAAGTCCACTGGGTGGTGGCACTTCCTTCCACCCTCCTCTCCACCCCAGCAGAAGCAAAGACATCATGGGAGCAAAGTGCTCAATGCATACAGAGATGATGCCCTTTTCAACCCACATGCTTTAGACTTATTCTAGAACTGCCGAGTAGAGGATTGTGGGGGTCCACATTTTCTCCCTAACAGAATTCCAACCTACAGATTCTTCGCTGATCCGCAGAAATGATCATCGATCTGCATGAAATGACTCTTAAATAACCCAGACATTTCAGCCCCTCTAACACCAGAACAAGGCCTTCCTTCCGCCTGGGGGGTGGGCTCAGTGTCACAGACATCCCTGACATGCAGGCCAAGGATGGGGTCATGAGCGATACAGGCTCTACACATCCACATCTGTGCCCCTGGTATACACATGTAAACCCACCAGTTGCCCAGGGGCAGAGAAAGAGAGTGGTCACTGGGATACCCTGAGTCGGGGAGGGGAGTACCTGCAGGGCCTCTGGCGTTTGGAAGTAGTCAGGGCCATAGCCTTCTTGCCTTTGTCTCTCTCTAAAATGGACCAGGCAAAGTGCTGCTTGAATCTTACCATGTTACTCACTCTGTCCCCACACTCAGTAAGCCAAATCCACCCATCAAGGACTCCAATGAGTGATTCTGCTCCAATGGTTGCCAGTTCTACCCTGGCACACTGGGAGTCCTCACTGTGGGAATGGGGAGGGGGCTGCCTCTCTCTGAGTAGGAGATAGAATCGGAACCTGAGTTTCCAACACTGGTAGGGGATTGAGTGGGGTCTTCTGATGCCACTTCTCACTCCCAGGTAACTGGCCTAAATGTGAATCCTGAGCAAACAGAAAAGGACATGCCATCTGCAGAAACCACTCAGCACTCTGAGATAACCTGAGACCAAAGGCTTCCGGCAACTGATATACTGAGCTCTGCAGCACAGACTCGTGCCACACCCCAGGAGCTGGGGCAACAGAAGATGGTGGAATGTGGCCAGCAGGGATTGGGGTGGTCTTGCTGGAAGAGCTGAAATGATCCCGGATTGAGAAGGTAATAGGCCCTTCGGAGGAGATGAGCAGAGAGGCCTGGTGCAGGGGAGATGAAGGCAGAAGCCATGTGGAGCCACTAAAAGAGCCCCAGCGTCACTGGCAATCAAGGTAACTGAGGCCAACCCCCATGTGACAGGGAATTTCTTCCCAGCTCATGCTCACACGCTCCCGGTAATGGGGTGCTCTCCGTGCTGTGAACCCCATTCAGCCTTCCCATCTACCTCCTCCACTGGCCTCAGTCTTCCTCTTAAGTTTTATTGAGCACATCTGCTCCATTCCTGGAGACAGAAGGTGACTAGTTTCTCGGGAATTCTCTCCAAGCTCACACCAGTCAAAGAGAAAATCTTACAGGCAGCACAACAGAAGCCAGATTGGGAAGGATCATGGGCTGGGAGTAGGTTTTCAACAGAAATAAAGGGAGACAATGAAGTAACACCATCTGTCAACCTAGAATCCTAGACTGTCAACCTAAAGAAACTGTCAACCTAGAATCCTAGACCTAGCAAACCATCTTCTAAGAACTGTGATGAAATCAAGGTATCATCAAATAAACAAAAACTGAGACAGTTACACAAACCTCACTAAATGATCTGCAGGAAAGAAAGACGGAAAATTATCCCCAAAAGGAGGCCTAAGGTCCAAGAACCAATGAATAGGGGAGACAAAACAGGGTTCAGCAATGGTCTTTTCTTATACTAAATAAGGATAATAAAAATAAAGCAGTTGGATTTTACCCGCTTTTGCCCCATTTTTAAATAGGTAGGGTTGGCCCTGCCATTCCGAGTCCCCTGGTCCAGGCCATCTCTGGAGCCCTGGTACATTCATCTGCACACACCCCTCTCAGACTTAGTCCTTGAGTAGGGACCTCAGGGCTTTGATTCCGTTGAAGCTGCCGCCCTGAGACTTTGCACAGGCCACGGAGGAGGCTAGTCAAGGTTGCCATGTTCAGCCAGAACTGTGCAGATCTCCTGGCACATGGGTTCCACCCATAGCCCCAAGCCCATGCTGAAGCCGCAGCCAAAAAGTACGGCTACCTGAGAGGCCCAGGACCCCAGCCCTCTGGAACACAAATACAGGCAGCACCCTGACAGGTTCCAGCCTGTCTGTGCACCCAAGGCCTGGCTCTGACAGCCTTTGCCCTCTACGTTTGCCTCCCAAATGCCAGAGGTAAGGCCAGTGAGGCAGCTCAGGGGGAACAGGAACTGCTTCCCATGGCAGTGGGCACAAGCATAACAGCCTCGATGCACTCACAGAGCAGAAAAGAACCGTGTGTCTGATCTCCCTGCTGCTGCGCCTCAGCCAAGTTCAAGGTTGTCTGCTAAGGCTCCCAGGTTTTGGTTAAGCATCACATGTTGGCTTGGGATGGCCACTGGCTATGTACCAGAAAAACAAGCAAAGGTCAAGACTCTTTCTGGCCAAGGGGAGACAAAACAGGGAAAGGAAGCAGATAGCTAGAGAGCCTGGGATTGAAAGGATAAGCTGCTATTCACTGAACACCTACTATGTGCCAGGTTTTGCTGTTTCTGCTGTGCCGAGGGCTTTCATACCATCTCCCGATAACCTTATGGAGAAAGGAATTATTCCCTTTTCATAGATGAGAAATCCAAGACTCAGAGAGGTTAAGTAATTTGCCTAAGGTCACCCAGCTAGAAAGTGAAGGGTCAGGATCTAAACTCAGATCTCTATGACTCAGCCACTACACACAGCTGCTCTCTAGAACCAGCTTCTGTGGCAGGCTGCCTGCGGTGGGCTTTCTCTGGTCTAGGAGAGAAGATGAAGGACTTTACTACTCAGAAAGGGAAGGCTTCGGGGACCCTGGTCACCTGAGCCCTTCAAATACCCTGAACACCTGAGCCTGTCTCAGCTAACCACAGCATCAGTTGGCAACAGAAAGTCACTATGCACTACCCACACTTCAGGAATGGGGAGTTGAAATCTACCTCCTAGAGGGGAGAGTATCTCCACCAATTATTTGGAATGCTTCTGCACAGAAGATTTGTTCCTTCTCCCCTACCCATTTATTTATTCAGAGATTTATTTATCAGTTTGGACTCGTGGATATTTATTTTACATTCTGGATTACAATTCAATGTTCCATTATTTATTTTGTTGATCAAATTGTCCCAGCTTTGGCCACTGGGTGTTTTCAGTTGGTTCTTGCATCCCTTCAACGTGCTCCATCATTTTTTGGTTTGGGATTTTGGGGTTTTTTGAGCACTTCCTTACTTCCTGTCACTACAAGATGCTCATCTTGGACATGCCCCATCCCAGTTCCAGAGTCAGTCATTCCTCCAAGTTGCTCCAAGGAGCACAGTCCATTATCTTTATTCTCATGGTGAGAAAAATGGCCCAAAGTGATGGAGGAGCTACCTAAGGGCAGCAACCACAGTCGGAGTTCAAGCCCAGCTTCTGTTCATGTGCCCTCTCCAGTCACTCACTGCCTCTGGACATGGACAGAATGAGGACAGCACAGCATGCAGGCAGGAGAATGGCCATAATGACCTCCCCTGCCCTTTCTCAGTCCCGGGACCTGGGACCAGCCCTTCTCTTTCCCCAGCCCTGACGCTTCTGATAACAGGGCATGTGGTGACTGCAGTCCAGGTGCTCTAACACCCAGGTACCTGACCCATTTCATGAGTCTTAGACACTCTCTTTTTCCTACTGTTTATAGTCACAGTAGACCAGGTGACAGTTACGGTGTGTTGTCACTCCCTATGCAAGCAAGACCTGTTGTTGTTCCTGGTGGCTTCATAGGACAACCGCAACCCCTTAACATTTCAGAAAATGAGTCGCTTAGGGACTATCTGAAAAAGGAACA